TGGCAAGTGAATAAGCTGAAAGGAGGAGTTTTTTAAACTGGTCACAATTGAGGAAATTGTAATTGTCATTATTAGTCAAAATATCTTTGACCTGTATCTCTTTCTGTAGCATCAATCAATAAAACTGTTTTGAGATGAACTTTTTCAATCTGCACTTACAGTAATATAAATAATTTCAGCCTTCTCAACAAAAGCCCAGTTTTCTGGTTTAACCAAGTGCTCTGTTTTGCTGTAATGGTTGGCTGCAGCAAGGTTGGCAACTAGAGACCTAGAAGCAATAATTTACACTTTTCTTTAGTTAACTTTTCTGATAAAAATAACTTGCATAGGTCCTCAAGTTTATTCCAGTTTAACCCTTTAACCCCTAAGAGTGACTGGCATCTAACTTCTCCTGACAATATCAGCCCTGAATGAAACATTAAGGTTATGAGATTAGGGAAATGATCAACAACTAAAGAACTCTTGCCTGTTAAACAAATTCTCCTTTTCAGAACCCTAAGAAATGTATAATGAACAGTATGGAGAAATTATATACTGATGTAGGGGTGTCATGGGTTAACTGAGTGTGGAGCCAATATGTTACAACCTAAACAATTCCCTGTTTTCCCTTACAGTCCACCAGTGTTATTCAGGTTGAAAGAAAAGCAATGTGGGAGAGAAGCAGCAAGGTAGTCAAGTGTCTTGCCCAGGGACCCAATGTGATGAACCTAGTTGGAACTAAAACCAGATCTCTCCACACAATGTTCTGGCAAGCTAACCCTACATAACTGTGGTGTCTCCCACATGTCCCAAGACATGTTCAGTAAATTTGATTAGGTATCAATCAAAGTAATTGCTACCTCACATATACTTACAGATTCCTGTATGCTCAAGGTATTCACAGTCAAGTCTGAACAAAACTGCATCTTAAATTTTTACATAACATTTGGCTTCAGAGACTTTTAATAAATAGAAAACCTTACTTCTAAAATATCACTTCCTGTTTTCTATTATTTTTTTCAATACCCACCTGTGTTTTCCAGTAATGCACACAGCACACGTTCCTGTGGGTTCCTTAGCATGAACTAAGTAGTTTACAGTAACACCAGCACCTGTGGCCTTTTCAGACAGAATTTTCCCATAATCATCATTGCCTAGAAATCATATATAAATGTTAAAAAATGTTTAAAAGCAACCATAGAGCTGAAGATTGCTACCAACCAAACATTTATTTGAGGTAAAACTTTGACAGAAATTAAATGGATATTTGTAAGCATCCAAATAGCTGAGTTCTCACAAGAAAAGGGCTTAACTCTTTAACTTTCAAGATCTGGTTGTCAATTCTCCCCCCTAGCTGTTACATATTTCCTTGTAAATTAGTGACTCAAAGTTGGTGTTAGATTACCTGGCCCATGTTGTTAGGATGCTGGATGGCGCTATCCACTAAATATATCGCTGTCTGGTGAATAACGCAGTACATTTTGTTTACAGTTATCCACTGGGTAGCAATTTATCCATTGTATGGTGTTATCCACCTTTTATACAACTGGGCCCTAATAGATAAACAATAGCCTCTATTTGGCACAAAAATATGCACAGATATTTGTCTGCAGACATTATCTGTCCCAAGATGTGAACAGTTTTCCAAGAGCAAAGCTCAACTAAAGGAAAACTGTGAGCTTCAAGGAGCAGATAATGTCCAAGGACAAATATACCAGCTTTTTTTTCATGCCAAATAGAGGCTATTGCATTTAACCTTTTCACTTCCATGATCTAAATTTCAATTCTCTTCACTGTCTGCTGTACATTTCATTTAACTTTTGTGCTTAGAATTTGGTGTTAAATCCAAAAATTTTCACTCCTGGGAGTAAAAAACCCTGGTTATAAAACTAAATAAAAACTTAAAACTCACCAATACAGCCAATGTAAGATGTGTTTTTGCCATCCTTTCCTAAAAGCCACTGCAATAGTCAAATGTTGCCATGTTATTAAGCATATTGGGTTCAGTTAACTGATATTAGACTGGTAGCATTACAAACAAACTGTAGTTTGTGTTTAGACTTAAAAGCATAGGGTTGGGACAAGTCTATGATACAATGCCATAAATTAACAGACAGAAGCCATTCACCCACAACCAAACCAAACTACCCAACATCACAAAGGTAATAGTTCAGATGCATACAGGCTTTTTCCAAATATCAAATTACTTCATATAATGGAATCTTTTACATTTCAAATTCCATACCCTAAGAGAAACCGATCAATCACTTTTCAAGGTACAATACTTTGTGGAAACCCGTATTTTCATAATAAAAAAAAAACACTTTAACTTGCATTTTTGAAGACATTGGAGAACAATAAGTGACTTTTGACCACAAAGCACCTGTGCCATTTCACTTCCTTATTAGCTTTCCTTTTTGTAATCAATCTACATTGTAACATTTTTCGGATATAAATTATTCTACACTGTAGCTATAGGAATAGAATGAAAATATTAATTTACTTTTTCTCCCAACAGAATGCTGAACTAAAACAGGTTTCCTACATACAATGGGCTTAGTTTTGTGAAAAATTTGAGGCATCTTGACCACTTGTGAAAAATCTGATTTTATCCTAAGTGCAAAGATATAGGAGATTTTAATTTGCTCCGCGTTAAAAACCACAGCCTCTATCCCTGTTTAGTTATTTCCTTGGCTACCTGAGTAACTCGAATACTGTTTTGTGCAGCTCCACCAGGAATGAACTCTGCATTGAATTTCTCTGTCATTTCTTGATACCTGAAATGATGTGCTTGCAATTATTGAAACAGTCAAAAATAACAATCACTACACCTCATCTGAATGATGTGCAATAAGCATAAAATTCTATTCTAAGCTCACATTGGTAGGTGTTTTTCTTCAGCCAAAATAGCATTGTTAGCTTCAAGTCCAAACCTGTAAATACAAGAACAAAAAGAAAAACCTATTATAATGTGCAAAAAAGTAACAAAGGCATAAATCAAATGCAATCACTGATAAATTTTTATTTCTTAACCAGTAAAGCTCAAGCTTGAATTAAAGTCTTATATCTGATTGAGTTGGACTCACAGAAAGGAACCATTTGGTTTCCTTTTCAAAACAGCATTTGCATCAAAGTCAAATTTGAATGGACAAAAGGAAATTCAGTGGTAAATTTTAACCCTTTATCTCCTAAGATCTAATTGTTAATTCTCCCCTCTAGCTGATACATATTCCCTTGTAAATTAGTTACAAGAATTTGGTGTTAGATCGAGATAACTTCTACCTGACAAGTTTGAGTTTTCTCATTGCCTGTTTGCTGGATGACATATGACTATTACATGGAGAATTTACATGTTAATCAATTCTGGGAGTTAAAGGGTTAAAATGCTCAAACAAGAGTAATAAGTATGGATCAGGCCCCGGTTGTTCGAAAGCCGATTAAATTATCCCTCGATTAGAGGTTAATCGACGATTAAATTTCTTATCCCAAGGATAGCTAATCTAGGTTTAAAATAACGTTCCTGAAAGCAGATTTATCCCTTGATTAACTATCCCACGATTAAGCTGAGGTTAAACCAGTCAAACCGGTTATTAAGAGCTACGCGGCTACGCGCGAAAAAAAAATTGGAGGGAAAAAATGGCGGAAAGGGAGAGTGCACATGGAAGTGGAAACCAAACGAAAGACAGAAAAAGAAAGCATAATTTTTCAGTTTATGAGATTGAAGTCATCACCGATAATGTCAAAAAAAATCTCGATTTAATCCAATCCAAATTAACGAATGCTGTGACCAACAAAAAGAAACAAATGCTATGGGAAGAAATAACCCAAGCGGTAAATGCGGTCGGAACAGCCAAGCGAACAGTCACGGAGGTAAAAGACAAGTGGAAAAATCTCCATAGCATCGCCAAGAAAGAATTTGCAGAATTCAAGAGGGAGACCAAGATAACTGGAGGTGGTCGGCGTCCAAAGTCGCCGAGTGTTGCCAGCAAAGAGATTATTGAGGTGCTTGAGGACATGCCGGCGTTCAGCGGTTTGATTGGCTTTGAGACAGGTTTGTAAACAATTCTCTATTGTTTCTAGGTTACCAAAAATTTTAAAATTGTAGACAGTCAACCGGCCATGTTGTTTCGGCGGGGTTTTCAGCTTATCAATCGCTTTCCCGTCTTTGAGCATACGAAATGTTCGGACACAAGGGAGGAAAAGATAAGTTTGCATGTTTTTTTTTTCCAATATCCGTAACTGTATTAATCAAGTTTTACCTTGTTTAGTTTATTATCCCGTCACATTTCATGAGTGTACTTCACTAAGCGAAGGCTGCTACGGAGAACTCCAAACCGGTTTGCTGCTTTTGCGTCATTTTTAGGGTTGCATTCGATTAAACCCTGTTCAAGCTGAATATAGACGAACGCTCATGACGGACTGTCAGTAATTTAGCAGACATATATATAAATTTCAGCTTCACTTGATTAATTCACATGTCGAAGATTGCATAGCTCCGTCATTTTGGAAAGCGATCTGAGGAGTGAGACAAAAACCTTTGATTTCGAAGAATGTCTTGGATGCGGTTTATATTTTGGTTAAAATTCGTTTTGCCAAAGACAAAGTGCTCCTATTGTTTCTTTATTTATCTTGTACTAAGGAGTGTTCTTCAAATATTTACGATCGGCTATTTACATGTATAAATAACTAATTTTTATTATTTCGTTTTGACGCAACTTTGTTTATGTTTGTGATTGACGAAATAATTTGTTGTTGTACCTGTTATCATGTCCTATTTTTTCGATCACTAAACTGTGGTACGGTTCTTGTTGTCGATTCGCTCTGATTCCCCTTTATCTGTCTAAAATAAGCTTAACTTTTAGTACATGATTTACAGATTTTATAAGCATTTTCGTGAATGATTTCACTGAGTTAAGTCTACCAGTACACAAATTCATTTTATGAAATTGAATAATTTATTTTTTACATGTTTAAGCCTCAGATTCCTTGCGGGAGAGATGCTCCTTCTGTTATTTCATTTATGTCATGCATAAAACTAAATTCACACTTTTTGAGCCTGAGTGAAACCTTAATTGTGCTTGAAATATTTTGTAGGAGAAGATGCTCATTTACCAGCAGAGTCTGCGAAGACTGTGTTTGAAGAAGACTGTCTGAGCCTTAATGAAGACATGCATTCTTCACCAGCCAAGGCTGATGAACAGAGGAAGCCTTCAAAAAGGATAAGTAATGGCGATGTTTTAAAAATGCAGTACGAATGCCTGTGTACTCAGAAGGAAATGTTGAATCTTAAAAAACAAAAATTGAAAATGCAAATTCATCTTCTGGAGCAACAGGTCAATGCAAACCAAACCTTCGCAACTGCATTAAATGCAAATTTTGTAGTTCCCAACACCGATTCATTTTAAAGGAGGAATAGTGTAATAAGTCCTCTTAAAGAAATATTTTGGGCAAATGTTGTTCTCATATAATTTATTATAAAACATACACAATGTATTTTGTTCTCAAAATGTATTTTGACATAATAAAACAGATTCTTGAGTCAAACTTATTTTAATGTGTTTTTTCAACCAGAAACCCCTTAAATGCATATATGAATTTTTTATATTTCATGGGAAGTTAAATTAAGAGCAAAACTGATTGCATAAGGCAGAAATACAAAAATTAAAAATTGTCAGAAAAAGGTGTTGCAGATGTGGTCTCGGATGACCTTGCCATCCTCTGGACCCCGGAAGCAAACAAGATTAGGTTGATCATCAGCCTCAGCATAGCCATCCAAAGGTTCCTTTCTCAGAATTGCAATGTTATGTAAAACTGCACATGCTCCGATAATGATGGACACTTTTTCTGGCTTCATTCTGATCTCAGAATGAAGCAGATGGAACCTTCGCTTCCACCAGCCAAAGGCTTGTTCTATTGCCACTCTTGTTCTTTTGTGGGCACTGTTGAACTCTTGCTGCTTGTCAGTGACTGGATTCAGGTAAGGGGTCATCAGGTACGGCTTGCAAGGGTAACCACTGTCACCCAACAGTAAACCATCTTCCAGGGACTGGTGTTGGATATTAAGTTGTTGGCCAATTCTTGAATCCCTAAATATGAAGCTGTCATGGGTGCTGCCTGGCCATCGTGCTACAATGTTGGTAAACATGCCTAAAATAAAACAGCAAAGAAGTTATGTGACCAGTTCTTACCTATGATGTAGAAAATCTCATCTCAGTTTATAACAATAATGTACTGCAAAGAGGAACAACAATAATTGTGTCTATGATGAACTGGGGTAACTGATACAAATATTTAGTTTACTTGGAAAACCTTTTCATTGTTTAATTTGTTTTTTGAAATTTGGGAGACTGCATCATTTTGAAATCCCTGCTGATTGTTGCACTCTGTTGGTCATTAGCTGAGCAATATATTCACAAATATCCCACATTATTTCTTGCTTTTTTCCCTTGTTTTTTACTTTTTTATACTGTCACTAAAATATTGGTGTGATAATTTTGGTAAATTTTCCGTATGTGTGTTTGCAAACCAAACTCCACCTATACCATTTGACTCAAAAAATATTAAAAAAAAAAAATTTTATCACTACTCCCATTTCCTGAATATGTGAAACTGCAATCTAGTAACTCCCAACAATGCAACCCCATAGCAGCTGATGTGCTAGAAATCTCAATCTAAAACCTTCTATAAGGGGAGTACCCCTCCCTGCCAAAGGTTATTTTGCAATTTTTATAGAACACTAATTGTGACATTTGAGTATTTTACCTACCTTTGTGATTGCAAATTGCTTGCACATTTATGGAATGGAACCCTTTACGATTGACAAAATCGTTTTCGTTTTCATGTGGTGCCTGAATCTTGATGTGAGTGCCGTCAACACAGCCAATCACCCCAGGAAATCCCCCCTTGGTAAAAAAACCGCGTTTGTTTTGAAGTATCTCCTCTTCGGTCGATGGCCACTTGATGAAGTTTCTTTGTTTCTGTGCAAGGGCAAGCGAAACTTGACCGATTATACGGGACACGGATGACTTTGACAGGCCCAGAGTATCTCCAATAACTTGAAGAAAGCTTCCGGAGGCGAAAAAGCGCAATGCTACAAGGACTTGCACAGTTGTCGACAAAGCATGGTTTCGAGATGTATCTCTTTCAAGATCGTCGCGAAGGAGCTCAGATAAAAATTCTATGGACTCTCGGCCAAAACGATATCGACTTCTCAATTCTTCATCAGTAAAATTGGACAGGGAAAAGTCGTCTGGTAGCCTAAATGTCCTTTCTTTCCTTCTTGGGGCCGGCATTAAGCCTAATCCGCCAAGTAATAAGTCGGCCATTTTGTTTTGTTTGGGGAAAGTTTTCCCTCGATTAGTGAGTTAATCCACCTCGATAGGTGTGTTAAAGTTAACCTTTATTTTAACCCTGGGATAGTGCTAATCGCGCTTTCAGGAACAGAAACTAATCGTGGGTTAAATTTTATTCTTGGGTTAGGGCGATTTAATCGTGGGTTAGCGCTAATCGGCTTTCGAACAACCGGGGCCAGATGGATGCATCTCCCAACTTTAATCCAAAGCTTTTTTAAATAATAGGTGTTCAAAGGTGTACTCTGTTTTAACGTTTTACCAAGCCACAGTAACACTCAAGTAAAGGGAAATCATTTCTGGTTCTGTACAAAGTAATAAAATCATACAACTTACTTGTCTAAGAAATCTTTATCAACAGTGGCAGAGATATCCAAAAGAGGATTTCCCAATGCAAGGACAACTCCTTCTCTATAAAAAAAATTTAGCAGTGATTATAAATAGGGTGAAAGGAATAAACTCAGGTTAAGATAACTTCAAGCTTAACTTTCTTAAGATAAATGAAGACTTGCTGTTGAATTTAAAGCTCTTCATCCAACCTTGAAGTTCATCATTAAATAGATGTGTAACTATTGTCAAACCTGCATTATAAATAGACAGATTTTTATCCTGCTTCTATCTTTGAAAAACAAATCTAATTTATACTGTCACACTACAATACATTCCATTTTAAATCAACTGAACGTGGAATCTGATGAGCAAATTTTGTACTATCTTCTTAAGTGGGAGAGATTTGAAAACTGATGATAACTCACTCGCCTTAAATGAGGGTCTGAAAATCAACTCATGTTGTGCAATTAAAAACAACCTATTTCAAGTGAAAACCCTGCATTAAGTAGATAGTAGTTTCACACCTGCAGGTTTCTGCTCAACACAAAGGCTTAAATAATAGACAATATTTCCCTTTTTTTGTCTTTTTGACAAATTTGACCATGGTGTGAGTTGAGATTTAATATTTTCATCTGAAATTTCACAGCAGAGAGCTAAAAATCTGAGCAAAAGCAGGCAAACTAGTAGATTGAACAAATTTAGATTTAGAACGATCATTCACCGGTACACTTAAGTTTCATTGATAATATGAGCGTTCTAAATTTATTTCGTCCTCCTAAACTGACACACTAAATATAGATTTCCCACTGGACGTATTAAAGCTGAAATGTTTTTGAAGCTTACCTAGTCATTGTATAATTCAGATTACCGGTGTACTAAGATTGAGTTTAACCTGGTGGCAGACCACTGGCTGTTCGTTGAAGCCGTTCGAGAGAATGACTCAAAGGTTAACGATTGTCTTATAGGTCTAACAAAGGACTGGTACGACTTATTGCCCAATCGCCAGCAGGACACATGGGGTTAATATGTCCCAACTTCCAGTAAAATTACTTCAAATTTAACGTATGACATCCTTCCAAACTTTGACCGTGATCTGTTTTTCAGGTACTCTCTGCACGTGTGAAATCAAAGCGAACGGATATAAATCAGACCAAATTTCCGCTACTCCATGGCTTGAGTTTTTAATGTTTTGTTCCCGCTAAAATCTTCGCATTGTTGTTGACATATGCTGAAGAAGTACATCCCACGAAGTTTTCAAAAATTCGAGGGATGTAAAACGAAAAATTACCAAATTTCACAAATAAATTATTCGATCGCTCAAGATTATATAACACACGAAAATTCTACTAACTTCAACTCCACGCGAGTTTTCTTCGCCTGTGGCTCTGTCGCCATTCTTGTCGTAGCTCCGACAGGGGGAATATAGGGGTATTCAGCGGATACGTATCTAGGGCTATAAATACTATGTAAGCGCCACGGAAATTACAAGACATTTTACTTTAGCATACATGACCTCTAAAATGTTTCCCGCGCGAAATGTAAATATCACGGAATCAGTTGTTGCTAACTTATGTTTGGAAAAACGCCACGTCTGCCTGCTTTATCCAGAACTGAGAAAGCCACCATGCCATTTTTCTAAAATTTTTCCGAAGATCCGCGCGCAGTGATGTAGTTTATGTCTATCCAATAAATTTAAAAAAAGAGAGTTAACGAGCACGAGGTAATACTTTGACAATTATTGAAAGGAACAACAAAAGACAAAACTCATAAAAAAGCAACCAAAAAAAGGCATTCTGTTTTAAGTCTTGGTTATGACTGTAGCTTCCCAGTGTTTTCTCTGCTTTTTTGTTTGTTGTTGTTTTTTTTATACGGTTTTGATACGATTTTGGTGCTTGTCAGTTGCTTTCTTTTTCCTTTACTTTCTTTTACAAGTCTTTGTTTATGAATCTTACAATTAACTGCCGCGTCTTTGAAAAGGTAACATAAGGTAAAGGAAATCTATTTATAATAAATAAGTTCACAGAAAAATGCGTCTTTGCTGACTTTTCTTTATTTACCCCATCTTATCATCATTGTTATCTTTCTTTTTCTTTTTTTGTTTCTGAGCATTTATCTTTACGCTTTTGGTACCTGTCACAATCGGAAAGGCCTCTCGATTTAAACATTTTGTTTGCATCGAGTCTTCCATTGCACAACAACGTAAAGCATGCACCAAACAACCGAAAAGAGAATGGTCGCGAGAGAGCTCGGGCCGAAGAAATCGAAGCTAAGTTTTTCTTTTTCCTTAGCTGGCTTTGCCCAATTTCCTTTCTGTTTTTTCTGATGAATTTTTGGATTTCTTTTATTGCATTGCAAATTCGGAATGACCCCTTCCTGCGAATTTGAGAGGACCTCTTTGTCACGAGACTTGCTGGGGAATTCGATGGTGCGTTTCATCGGTCGATCGGCAGCATGTACGCATCGACACACGCTTAAATAAGGTGCGGTAACTGTGAATTTCTTTGGAGGCCGAAAACAGTTTACAGTTTACGATCGGAAAACGACTTCCCAACGTTAGAGCTCGGTACGCAGACATACTGGAAAACGTTTACCTCCTAACTTGCATTGCTTATCGATGGATGACGAGCTTGTTATAGATAAAACATAAGAAACGTAAAAGAGGTAAAAAGACACAAAAAACGTTTAAAGAAAACAAATCCATTTCTACTGCTCAGAACGAAAAAAAAGGGAAAAAGGAAAAACAAATAAAAATTTTGATAACAGGGGGGAAAAGTAGAAAAAACAGCAAAAACAAAATGAAATTCCGCAGGGAGGAGTAACTCGGCCCCCAAGCCAGTTCGAGAGTTACTCCTTGTCCGCCAGCTCCAAATCATACTCAGGGAGAAGTTATTCGGCCCCCAAGCCAGGAACCCGCGACCTCGATGACCTCTCTTGCACTCGTTGCGCGCCTACGATTGCCTCTCGACCATCTCGAAAATGTATATTCAATAAGCATAAATTGTCGGTGTATTGAGTTTTGAAATACCGGGTGGGGGGGAGGGTGAGGAACTTTGTTTGACTGAGAGTGCAATCGAGCGTTTCCGGTCAGGATAAAGGAAATGAATCATTCCTTTTACTGACAAAAATGATCAAAACGAGGAACACAAAATTAGCATTTCTTGTAATGGCGGATGGCTTCGTTTGCCGGGGCTAATTAAACACGACGATTCGGACACTGCCCAAAGAAGTTATCAAGTGCATGCATTGATAAAATATATTGCACGCTAAGTATCAAGAATTCTTACTTCTCTGGACGCATTTCCTTTACATACATTTCTTTTACTTTGGGGCAATTACACAACTGCAATTGTACCGTCATTGCAATTATCGACCTATATCTTGTTCTCAAATCAGTTGACAAGGTGTTCGAGTCATTGCTCTGCAGGAAAGTAATGGCAACCATGGATTCACACTTTTATTACAAAATGGCTACGTACAGAAAACAACACTGTGACGAGACACTTTAATAAGGCTTAATTGTTGAGGATTAGAAAACAACTGCTGATAAGAACGAAAGTGTGACTGAATTATCCGCTCATATGAGCACAGCGTTTGACTTGCTGCATCTTGCTCTAAGGATTCAGAAGCTTACAGCATGCGGTTTTCGGAGATGTCCTTAAATCTTTCTTAAAAGCTTCGAAGAAGCCAAGTAAAAATACAAGACCTGCAAAGTGCGTCAAAGGAACAAACCAGCGGAAGCCCACAGGGTTCTTCCTTTGCACCTTTATCACGGAATCTATTCCAAAACAATATGTTTTCATGTACGGAGACGACCATCAAATATACAAGACTGGGACTCAATCAAAACAGATGTTCAAGAACTAAAGAGTGAAACGGAAAAGGTCAGGCAGTGGTAGAAAGTGAACCTGTTAAAGGCGAATCCCAGCAATTTTCAGATCATTGCCATCGTCCAAAGCTCTTTATAAAGGAGCTTGTAGGCAAGTTATTGCTTCAAATTGACAATCAAGTAATGAAATCCTCAGATAAACTAATAATTCTCGGAGTGAACATTGATGAAAGTTAGCATTCAGTGAACATTTGAGAGTCATTAACAGAAGAGCTAGTCAGAAAGTAGGAGTGTTACTGAGGTTACATAATTTTATACCCTGTTCTGCTAAGATGCAACTTTATAAATTCGATATTCTTCCTCATCTAACGTACTGTGACTTTGTGTGGCACTAATGTAAATCCTCCGACAAGTCTCATACTTGAACAAATTCAAGAACGTGCATTGAGAGCAGCTTTTAAATCATGTACCGAGTCCTATAGTGTTCTCTCACAAAACAGCCGGCCTCCCTTCTTTGCACCAAAGATGACTACAAGAGATTGCCACTTTGATGTACAAAGTCAAGAACGGCCTAGTACTGCACTACATTTCATCGTTATAGTTTCATAGTTAGACTTCTGCATTGCCGATATATTAATTCCATTTGATCTTCAAAATGTTTCTGAGATAACGCTGTTGGCCTAACTTGATGATGGTACAGGTTTCATTCCTGCACATTGATGTAGACAGAAGATAATGTTTGTAAATGTTGATTTTGGTCTTATTTGTGAGATCATGCTCGGACATTTTTCAGAGAAGCTGTTACGTGTTTGCATTAGGTAATTGTTACCCGCCAGTTATCATGCATTTTTACCTCGATCTGTGGATGCATTTATTATATATACATTTCTTTTACTTTCTGTTTAATTTTCACTTGACATGGCATTTTTAGAACTCCATTTGTAAGATAAATCAACAAAGACTTGTGATGTTGTATCTTGGTGCGATAAAACAAAATTTAAAAAAATTAAACTGAATACATTT